CTAACTGAAAACCCCAGTGCAGAAGAACAGCACCCTACTTGCGAATCTGCAAACATCCATCATTAGTTCTTTTAAATAATTATTTAATTTTCTCTAAGCCAATCAGATTCCTACCTGATGTTTGCGGGGGGGAGGGGGAGCAGCAGCTGCAGCAGCAAAAGGTAGATTGTTCCAACACTTTCGGACGCCCGGGCAAAAGGGGTACTTTCATACTGTAAATAGTGAGGCACAAATACTATGGTAGGGTATAGTACCAGGGGACAAGCTGCCAAGCCCAAACTGCAAAGGGACGCTGTTCAAGTTCATTTTTCCTGCCCACGTTAGCTGACCAATTTAAATTGAAAAAACAACCTTAAAGGAAACTACCTCTCACTCACACCTCATCCCGTCTTGACCAGAAACCTGGAGGGAAAGTAAGAGATGACACACGGGCTCATTCAAACCCTCTTTGCATGGACTGTGTAGGAGGGGCTTGCCCATGAGCCAATTTGCGCCTCATTTCAACCAACATTTTGCGCCTTTTTTTCTTGAACTCTTCGGCGCTCCTTCTAGCCACCACGGGCCAAAATTCAGGCAGGCACGTTTCACGGCTCCCCGCGAGGAATCATCCAATCAGAGCCCACCCAGCCAGCCGCGGCGAGGCAAGGCCTCACGTCGCCCAACTTCCAGGGTCTTTGCTCGAGTCACATGATCCCCGCGCTTGGCCCAGCCCCGTGAGGCACCGCCCCTCAGCTGATGATCGCTGATTGGCCGCTGTTCCGCGCGGTCTCCTGGGTGACGGGAACGCGGTAGCCTTCTCCGAGGAGACCCGGTGCGCCTGCGCACTTACTAGATCGCGCGGCCGCTGGAGCCTAGAGATGAAGGTAAATAACTACAAATCCCCGGGAGGCGGGAAGACGCGACCCCTGCCCCTTCCCTCTTCCCTCCAAGCGTCGCTTTGAGGAAAGGGTCTGTACCCCTCACCCTCCTCCCGAGTGCATGAGGAGCGGGAAAAAGAGCGGGGTGACCAGGGAGGAGGAGGGCGCGGGCGAAGTTGAAGGAACGAGGGGAAAGGAAGGAAAATAGAAGAGAGGGCCGAGAGCGAGGCCTCTCAACTCTGGGACCTCTAACGGGGAGAAGCGGCGCGGGAAGCGGGAACCCCGTCATGGCCAGAAATGAGCAGACTGGATCTGAGACACCCGAGCTTCGCACGGCGGAAAGAACGGGTCGTGCGAATGCGTTTGGAGGGTCCGGTGAAGCTGGCTCGATCCGGTGTCACCAACTGCCTCATCTCTGGCGGCTAAACCCCTGGCAAGCCGTGCAGCTGCCCAACGCCCTAAGAGAATACAAAGCCTCCTCAGTAATCATCTCAAAGTGCCCTGCCTTGACAGGTCCAATTTTCAGATCCCCTGGGAGCGAGCGTACGTTATTCACGGAGAAACCTTCACCCGCGCACACAGTTCTCATGCTCGGGCGCGTCATCCCCTGCACGCCTGGTTTCTAGGCTTGGGCTTCTAGTGAACCCCACTCCCCGGTACCGGCTGCGGCTGGTGCACCCTTCCTATTTACCACAACAATACTCCCCGCCCTGCGCTGGCAAAGAAATGGAAAGCTCAGTTTTAAAATTATTTTAGACGTCCTAATGCTTCTTTGTGGCTGTAAGTGTGGAAATGGAAATTGACAGACCAGTAATCATAACTCACATTTCTAAAGCTCTTCACAATTTATGAAGTATTAGAAGTGAGGAGATTGATTATTCTCAATTTACAGTTGAGAATTCTGTGCTTGAGGCAATTAAAGTGACTTGCTTTAAGCCCTATACCTAATAAGTAAGAAACAAAATTTAAATTAAATTAAATACATGTGAACCAATCTAATTTCAAAATTTAGTAGCCATATTAAATTTTTTTAAAGAAACAGGTAAAATTTTAATAATATATTTTATCTTACCCAGTATATCCAAAATGTTACCATTTCAACATGTAATCAATATGAAAACTATCAATGAGATAACTTGCTTTCTTTTTTTTTCTGTAGTCTTGGAAAGCTAATTTGTATTTTATATTTGCAGCACATTTAAATTTGGATTACCTATATTTCAAGTCCTCAATAGCTACATGTGGTTTGTGACTTCCATATTAGACGTTACTGTTCTAGATTGTCTAAATGAAAAGAAAGATTTTCTTCAACTGATACACTGTCCACACAGTCACCCAATTGCCAAGTTAAACACATAATGGTGAAGTAAATATAACTAATGGGTAAAGGAAGAAAGTAATTTTGAAGGGACTATAAACATTTTTATTTCTATCATCGTTAAGATTTTTAAAATAGCAATTTTGTTCAATTTAATCCCCCCAAATCCATGCCATGGATAATAAACTAAATTCAAGATTAAATTATTTTGATCTTTAACATCTAAAAACACTAACATTATACATTTCTATAAAAGTAATATTCAGAAACATTCAAAAGTCAAAAAGATTTGTAATAAAGGCTGTCATATCTTGAGGTCCATACTGTACCAACCAGTTAGGTTTTACTGGTTGGTTGGTTTTGTTTTGTTTGTTTTATTGTTAACTTCTTTTGGATAAGCTCTAACATAAGCCTTCACCATCCTAAATCTTACTGTTTTTATGATCATGTTTTGACATCTTTTCTGACCAACCCGTGATTGTATGTTTTGAAAATATAAAAATTGTGTTTATTTTTTAGCGTGTTTTCTCACTGCTAGAAAAGGCTTGGCTTGGCACACCAATACAGTTTACCTGGCAAAAAACATCAGGAAACTACCTTGCAGTTACAGGGTAAGATATCAGTGAATGTTTTAAGTAATGGTTGTATGCCCACATAACCATACCATCTATCTATTCAGTAGAAGTTCTTGTGTGACAGTTGTATGGTGGGAAAAGGAATATATTCATTAACATAACAGTTCATAGAATCTTTTCCCTGGTAATAACTGTTTAGATACAAATTATGAAACTGTCATGAGAGAACACTGAAATCACTTGGATGGCAGCTTAAATTTTTATATACATACACAAATAAATAAAAGTAACATTTAAATCATATCTTTATATTCTAATTGCTTTTAGAGCTGATCATATTTTGAAAATCTTTGATCGCCATGGTCAAAAAAGAAGTGAAATTAACTTACCTGGGTAAGTACAGAAGTAGATAAAAAACTTTCAAGATCTGTTGCCAAAAAGATAAAAAGTTTTGTCTTAAAACTATAATCAAATAGAATTTTATAACATATACAAGTATGTAATCTGTATCTCCTCTTTTGCTTTCTCAATTTATGAAAGGATTTGTTTTTTTAAGCCATAAGTAGTTCATGAAATATGTAGGTGAGTTAGAGTTTCTATCTATAAACACCCTTATATTCACAGGGAAGTTTTAAGACAAGATGGTAAATGGGTCTATATGAAAGAATTCTTATTTAATTCTAAATAAGCCTTAGCGTATGTATAGGCAGATAAGACAAGCCTATATCTAGTTTAGTATTTCCTCTCTAATAAGTTGTTGGAAAATACTTCCTTACCACTTACTTCTTAAAGGACAAAAACTGTTTTATCCATTTTCAGGAAATCATTCTAGATTACACTAAGCATAATTTAAGCATTTTTAATAATTCAGTGTAATCATTACCTGTATTAGTTATTCTTCTGATAGTCTCAGTGGTTATTATGATGTGTAGAGTCCCTCACCTAAATGGCTTTATGCTGCTATGCTTTTTAAATTCATGCCTGCTTCCTGTAATTTACTGATTATTTTTGCAAGTCAGACTGTTTTTCTCCTCAGTATCCAACAGCCTTTCTCATCTGCTCTGCCCACCCACCTAATGCTACTTCATTGCTTCTCGTTTCTATATTATGGGAAACAGCAGTCAAAGTAGTTATAATTATGTCCAAAATAAAATAAGAAGGCACTCAGTAGAAAGCTTCTTTGAGTAAATTATGTGAGCTTTATTGCATGATCTCTGTGACATCTATTTTGGTTATATAATGGCCTCATTTCTTCTGAATTCTTTGGCTGTATTCCTAATAGTTGAATTTGACTTACAAAGGATCTCCAGATAAATAAAATGCTGTTATATATTAAATCTTTAATTGTCAGATGATTTTATCAAATATTCGAAAGCTCCCTTGTTTCATACTCTTCAAATTTCTGAGAATATTGTAGAAAATGAAGATCCCACAACATATTTTAACACTTTGAAGAATAAAATAATTGAATTCATTCCCAGCTGTCATAAATGTAGATCAAAGTATGGCTTAGCCAATATCCAGGAAAAAGTCTCAAAAGGAAAAATAGCATCAGGGAAGAAAAGGTTGATCTTTTTCTTTAATGATTTAAGAAATTTTAAAGTTTTTAAATTATAATAAACATTTTGGAATAATTTTAAATAGCAAGAATCTTGTTAAAGTGAGCATTTTCTATTTATAGCTATGTTGTTACCTTAAACAAAGCAATCTTATTCCTTCAAGATGTAAAATGAAAATAACATTTCTTACTCATCACTTTAGATTTCAGTCTTTCCATTATTTGTTATCCTACCTCTACCAAGCCTTAATCTGTTTTACATCAATTTATGTAGCTATAACTTAGTTTCTTGTCAGTACCTTCTTTTCTTGTCTGTAAATCTGTAATAACCTTCAAAACTTGACCATACAAATTACCTCTTGATTCCAGATGTGACTCATTTGTAGAGGTACTTGATAAGTTTGTTTTACCAAATGGCCAGGTTCTTTATAGGATTCAAGAAAATCTGCTAATTAAGTATAATTATACTTAATATAATATATGAAAATAGTATTAAAAATAAAATTTAAAATATTTCCATCCCCTCAACAACAGCAAAAAATTGAAGTCAGTATTATCCAACCAGCGAATAGTGGGTGTGTTTCTCATTTTAGAATTTATTACCTATTCAAATAGGTGAGTATATACGTTTCTTTCCCTTTACTTTTAAAAAATGTATAGTGATGTTTTGCTCTCTTTTTAAAAAGTAACTGTGTTGCCATGGATTGGGATAAAGATGGAGATATCCTAGCAGTGATTACTGAGAAATGTAGTTACATTTATCTATGGGATGCCAACACAAATAAAACCAGCCGGTTAGACAGTGGCATGAGGTAAGGATAACTTTTTCATTTTTTTAAATCTTCACTTAGAAACATGATTAGCTTTGATGCTAACAGAACTTAACTACTTTCATTTTAAAGATGCACTGATGAGTTATTTTCTTAGAGAAACTCATTTCTTTTAGTATTGTTATATATATATTCCTTTACTAATCTTGCACAATTAGAATAAAATTGTTATAATTATGCAATATAAATAGCTTCTAAAAACATTGCTTTCAATGGAACACACGAAAACGTACAAAAATGAGATAAAATATAGATGGCTGGATCTAGGAATTCTGTTGATTCAATCAAGACTCTTTCTCAATCTCTCAGCTCTTTTCTCTATATCAACTTCATTCTAAGTGAGACTCACCATCAGCTATCAGCTTATATTACTCCTCACAGCAAGCCAGAGAAATGAGCATGTCCCCTTACATCACCAGTGCCCATTCAGTTCCTCAAAAGGTCTCTGAGTGGAGTAGGCAGGGCCATGGGAGGAGTAGGCAGTCCCAGCAAGTGAAGGGTGGGGAGAAAGGTGGGACAATTCCCAAGCAGAAAAATCCTGGGCAAACACAATAAATTACAGATCTCTGCTAAAATAGAAACCATTTTAGCATGTGGAAAAGAAAAACGTCAGTATTTACAACTAAAACTTTGTACTTTTGACCTTGGACAAGTTGCTGAACCTCTCCCTAACCCTCAATTTCTTCGTCTATATGAGATTGGTATGATAATATATACTTTGTGGCTTCGTGTGGCCTGCAAGTAGGCAGGTAGAAATCATACAAATACTATAAAATTAATCTGTAAATTTTCAGTTTATTTACTAAGGAATAACTTAATCCAGAGGACGCAAGGTGGTTATGCAGAGCAGGACCAGACATAACCTTGGTGCAGTATCCTTGACTGTCCACAGTGACTCTTGAGGCACATAGCTGCAGGAGATACTGTCTGCCTAATGTAAAGTCTTACTAAGTCTAAGAACATTCATTTCTTGCTCTGTCTTTTGTCATGTTAAGTTTACATCACATTTCAGAAAGATTTTATACACTGTGCTTCCATTCAAGAGAACGTTTGTAAACATCAAGTACTGGTTTTTGAACCAAATTCAGCATCACTGAGGCCACATTCTCACCCAGAGAAAAGGGGATTAATCCCCAGGTGTTTCTAACTGGTGCTTCTCTGCCTCCAGCTGTCTTTCTCCCCACAGAGTCTGTTTTCCCACATCATCTCAGGGTTGTTGTGATGTTTAAATGTATGTCATGGCCAGGCATGAAATTAAGACTTGAGTAAATGGTAGATGTAATTGTCATTAAGATAAAATTAAAGGTGTCTTACTGTTGATGTTAATACTTAATGTCTAGGGCTGTCCATTTAGCTCAGTTGGTTAGAGTGTGAGGCTCATAACAACACAGTCCAGGGTTCAATCCCTGTACTGGCCAGCTGCCAAAATAAAACAGAACGAAAACAAAATATTTAATGCCTAAAGGACTTTTGTATGTACAACGGTATACCCAGTACTGTTTGTTCTTTATTTAAAAGTCTATATATTATACTAAGATAATAAAAAAACTTTGAATATCAATTTTTCTCAACTTGAATGCCCATAAGCAATTTAGATTTCATTTATAAATTTCATCTGAATTGATTCTTTTGAGCACTTCAAGCACCTTAAATAGTATATAAAACATATCTGAATATAATTATTAGAAAACTTACTATGGTGACACTTAACTAAAAATATTATATTAATGCAATGGGTTGAATTAATTTCTTCATTTTACTGTATATGTTTTTACACCTTCTTAGGATTGTAGTGGTATATACTATGATCCTGCCTAGATTTACAGCAGTATTCATTTAGTTATGCAACTTGGGATCCAGCAATCTTCCAGAGAAAACTCTCTATACAACATCTGCTTCATCAATCAGTTCATTCTTAGTTAGATTCATGAGACATGGTTGCTTCTCCCAGGGCAATTCAGACCTGAGTACTAGTCATCCTACTCAGCCTCTTTTTAGTTGATTTTCAGTCATCATATTAGTAAGACTCTTTTAAGACCATGCCTTTCACATAGGTTGCAATATTTTTGTAGCCTGTGCATGTCCCCAGAATGATGTATTCTTTAAGTTTTGCTTGGCCAGAGATACATGTGATCTGTTAGCATTAATGGAAACTTATGTATGCCTTAGTATCTTACTGTAATTTGTAGGACCTTCCAGAGGCCTTATGTCCTAAGAGAAGAGGGATGGAGTCTGTTCAATTAGCTCTTCTTTTGAGGACATTTGGTTACTTGATCTTCTTGGAACACACTATTTAAATCTCTTTCCAGTTGGTGGTTGTGTAACTGTTAGTGCTGATAAACTATTGAATGGGCTAATGTTATTACACTACTCTTATAATATATGACCACCGTTGCTGACCAGACCTTGTTCTGGTGGTACAGTTCTTTTCTCTGGTACGATTTAGCTCACTTGCAATTATTTTTATTCATATTTTCTGAAAGGCAGACTCCAAGGCAGGATTAAATGTATAAGAAATTTATTACAAGAAATGCCTGTGAGGGAACACAGAGGGAGAAAGAGAAGAAATTGGAAGAACTGTCAGACCCCAATGCATGTCTGACCCTTGTGAAAGAAAGAGGGAAGGAAGAAAGGTTGGGTAAAAACATCTTTGATTATATAGCACAGTTCTAAGAAAGTTCAGCTAGACCTATGGGGAGTCTTTGAGCCAAAGTTACCTGTCAGAGGAGTCCTGCATCTCCCAGGAATGGGCCTCAGCAGTATCCCTGCCACCATCAGTCATTGTCTGGGAATAACCCAAGGGAAGGCATTGTAGCCCAGCCCATTGAGGTGGTGGATTCCAGTGCCTAGCAGCAGGGTCCTTGGTCCTACACTCTCTGCAGTTGGAGATCCGAGAGGCACATGGCTGCTATGCCTACTTAAACAGGTAGAAAATAGTGCATATTCATCTTTTATGAAACATATACTTAACAGAAGAATCTAGTAGCCTGGTGTATTACTACTTCCTTATTACTAAAATTAATCTTCTAACTAAACATTTTATTATATTTACCTGTTATTACAACCAACTTTTCATATACTTTAATTTTTCTCTTCCAAGTATTATTATGATTTTATGGCCTTTCATAAACCTAATGTAACATCAAGGTCAAGGGTTCAGATCCCCTTACTGGCCAGCTGCCAAAAAAAAAGCTATATAAACCCAATGTAAATATGTAATTAAACATGTAATTTTTAATGCCCACATTTTCCTAATTCAGCCAGAGGAAGTTTCTTTAAGCTCACTCTTTTGCCCTTTTATTACTGCCTTCAGCATTCTTGGAAGCAGTGCTGCTTCTGAGAACGGTAGCACGGTCTCAGTGGTGTGCACAGTTTAGCTGCATCAGAATCACCTAGGTCTTATTACAACACAGATAAGTTGGTGCCAGCCCCAGAGTTTCTCATTCAGTAGGTCTGGGCTGGGATCTGAGAACTGACATTTCTAACAAGTTCTCAGGTGATGCTGCTGGTTCTGGGATTGAATTTTGAGAACCACTCTTCTAGATCAATTGTAATTTCTTCTCTCAATGTATGGAATCAGCTACTCTCCACGGTGTCCTGATTCCCTTCTATAGGGAATGCTATTGAAGTTCAACCTGTGAGTCCTAGAATGCTCATAAGAACTGGTGGCAGGCAAAAGTGCTTTCTACCTGCTCTGAGCTACTTTTGATATTGACAGAGCTGGAAAAGATATGTCCTTTTTAAGGTCATGAATTCCCAATGATTTTTCCAATTTAATATATCATCTTATTGGATGCTACTTTTTTTAAAGCATCAGGTTTCATCATCCATTAAGATTTTTTAACACATTTAGAGTTAAAACTATGAGTAGTAGACAAATTAATAAGTATCTCATCATGAGTCATCTAATGAAATTTGAGGTCCTATCATAATGAAATTGAAGTCTATATTCATAATACTTTGTATTTTAGATCTATCTGACCCTAAGACCAACTGATAGAGATTCCAAAATATCTTTAGCACTTATTCTTTGTCTAAAGCATTAAGTTGTAATTTTGTATTTCAGCTTCTTTTTTTTTTTTTTTTCCCCCCCTTTTTGTCTTTTTTCGTGTCTGGCAACGGATCGCAACCCTCAGTGTCGCGCCCGTACCGGACCGGGACCGGCAACGGGATCGCAACCCTTGGTGTTGCTCCCGCACCTCGCTCAGCCAGTGAGCGGGACCCGGTCCGTACGTGGGATCCAAACCCTCGGCGGGAGCGCCACCGCACTCCCAAGCGGCACACTGTAGCAGTGCGCCACAGGGCCGGCCCCTGTATTTCAGCTTCTAAGTAGACATTAAAATTATTCACGAAGTACTTTTTAAAAAGACTATTTAGAGGTTATGACTGAATTGTTTAGTAATTTCTATCTTGATGTTACAGGGATCAAATGTCTTTCCTTCTTTGGTCAAAAGATGGAAGTTTCCTGGCTGTTGGAACTATTAAAGGAAATTTGCTTATTTATAATCGTCAGACATCTCGAAAGATTCCTGTCCTTGGTAGGTTATAGCTGGAAACACTGCTAAATATTTGAGATGCTTTACCTTAATGTAAATTCTGCTGCCTCAGATTTCCCTGATATTGCAAGGAAATTTTTACTGTATTAAGGCCCTGTGGTCCATTCTCACATTTAGCTAAACAAGATCATCCCTCTTCACTGCTTACTAAGAATTTCTCAGGGTAGATAGAGTAAGGTCAACCTATGACATTGAGCATGAGGACATTAATGGCATGGCTTCCATTTGTCCCTTTCTCACCCAGATTGTACCTCTAGACACGGAAGAGCTCATATTCATACATATATTGATAATAGTGCTAATTTCAGTTATTAATTTTAGTTAATTTAGTTGTGTTATAATATGATCATTTTAATTCACATAGTAGATGGACTTAAACATTTGGTGACTGCTTGGACAAGGGTATATCCACATTCCTAATTCTGACCCCTCACTCTCTCCAAACACCAACTGAATCTAGGTAGGGACTATGAGTTCTATCTGCCTCAGAGTATGGGGCTAGAGGGTGTTTGTGTTTGTTCCTTATCTGATCTTCTTGGTTCAGGCTCCCCCAACCTTGGGTCACTTGGCCTTTTCCCCCTGAGTAACCAAGAAGAAACAGTGTCTATTGTTTTCAGTTACTGTAACATTGTGCTGATGAGTGGTGGAACTATTGGACTTAATTACATTAAGGACATTTAATCATTTCGAATGATTTTCACATATATGTATCTCTTTAATATTAACGTTAATTTTTAGTGCTAGAGCTAGACAGTAATATCATTGATCTATTTTAAAAATTTAACTAAAAATTTTTAAGTTACAAAAATCAGGTTTCACTATGTGAATTAGTTTGTCTATTTGACTCCAGTAGGCATTTTCTGTTTCCCACTTCATCTGTAGGTATATTTACCAGTGAATTTATAAGCCCCAGAAATTTTGACATTTGAGGTATAAGAAAATAATTTGTCAGCGCATGATTATTTTTGTGTCAGATATTTGTCCTATTTACATGATTTTATTTGTGATCTTCATATTTATTTATTTATTTTATTTTATTTTATTTTCCCTTTTTGTCTTTTTTCGTGACCGGTAACGGGATCGCAACCCTCGGTGTCGCGCCCGCACCACGTTCAACCAGTGAGTGGACCGGTCTCTATGTGGGATCCAAACCCTCGGCAGGAGCACCACCGGGCTCCCAAGCTCCACACTCTACCGAGTGCGCCACCGGGCCGGCCCAGTGATCTTCATATTTATTTATTTATTTTATTTTATTTTATTTTCCCTTTTTGTCTTTTTTCGTGACCGGTAACGGGATCGCAACCCTCGGTGTCGCGCCCGCACCACGCTCAACCAGTGAGTGGACCGGTCTCTATGTGGGATCTGAACCCTCGGCAGGAGCACCACCGGGCTCCCAAGTGCCACACTCTACCGAGTGCGCCACCGGGCCGGCCCAGTGATCTTCATATTTAATATGAATATTGATTCTGCTCACATTCTTATTGATTAACTGTGTAAAATGGGCCTGAAAAGATTCAGATTAATGATATATCTTAGGTCCTTTAGCTAATTAGGTAACTGCCTCCCT